CTGCATTTCCCTCATTAATTCTAGTTAAGTCTATTGCACAATGAAACAAGTCTAACCACCATCTCAGTGACTGGGTGAGAGTAGAAGTAGTCACCCAGGATACATATCCATAGGTGGGAATGAGGCAAGCCGAGGAATTTTTAAGATACTAATATCCACGTGAAATTTTTGAGTACAAAAAACCTTGATACCTGTTAAAGAGGAATCGTTATGCAGAAGGTGGAACTTGCCTAAACCACAGCTTTTGTTCGGTAGTCACTTTTGACGGCACCTGTGCACCAATGCATCTTCTGTACATCTCTTTCCTCTCAGCTAAATTTGATGTGAGCATCTATGTGGCTAAGTCCCATGAACAGGGGAGGGAGGAGAAAACAGTTTCTGGAGTTGGAGAAGTGACAACAGAAAGACCGATGATCCACTGGAAATTTTCCCAAAGAGTTGATATTGAAAGGATGTTTCCGAAATCACCAAAGCACTTGTTAAGAACATGTCCTGACAAAGACAGCAGATTACTGGTATTTGAGCTTCCCAGTACAGAAAGTGCTATTTGTTTTATAAATTAAAAGTAACCAGTTGTAATAATAACACTAAACAATATTACCACTTTCAGTTGTTTTCAAAAATGTGTAATGGGTCTAACTCAGAATTGGAAAATTAGGGAACCCCTTCCCCATGATCTAGTTTAGATATGCTTCGCATTTGAGGAGAGTAGGACTACATACTAGCTTATCCTGTTCAAAACAGAACCAACTTCATTGTATGGTGCAGGTATGAAGTCAAGAGAATCTCCTGGCCCTCACCTAGGAGATGGAGAGATGGGGAACACACAAAACCCACAATAAAATGGCTTTTGCAAATGCAAAAATGCATTTGGAACTTCTCTGCAGTCACAAAGATGTAGAAATATGAAGTTCATCTCAGTTTCCACTGAATTTTATTTTTTAGCATTGTGCCAAATAGTTAACATGACGACACAGGAGCTGGAGGTAGCAGTGACACAGAGAGCTGATACTGTGGCACTGCACATGCATAGAAAGGCAGAGATGAGCCTGATCGCTGCCTCTGACAGCTGGGGATTTCTGTCCTCTGCTTCCAAATGTGCACCGGCGGAGATGGTGCTGTACTTGGGCAGGTCTCCACATCACTCTGCTTATGCAGGAGGCGTGAAGGACTGAGAACGATGCTTCATCAGCACAGTTAAGGTGGTAATAACACAATTACCAAGGCTAGTTATGCCTTTTAGTTCTGCCTTTGAATTGGGGGTGTTCAGAGGAGAAGTGATGGGAG